AAGCAGGAAATACAGAGAGGACTGGAGTCAACAGTAAGAAGCTCTGCATTGCAAGACAAGACAAGAAAAGAATCTACAGACCTGGAGTGAACAGTAAGAAGCTCAAGAACTCCAGGGAGGCAAGAACTAAGGTATGCGGCATTTGGTTCCAGCATGGATGACTAAGCATCACACAATCACAATGTGTGACCAAACGGCAACAGAGAATCACAATGGCCACAAGAAAAAAAAAGGAATCTACTCATATAGAGTGTTCTAGGAGAGCCTTAGGATACTTTCTCTGCAAGCAGAATTTCAATATCTATCCTGCAGGCAGCATGATCTTGGGCTGACATATTTCCCATCAAAAAGTTCCTCTTGTTGTATAACATGTTTTTGCACTGAATGCAGCATTTTCCATTTTTTGGGTCCAAAATTTGACCCCATCACGTGACATCCCAATAAGGAAGTGACAGTGCTTCAGGCTACAACTACCTACTGTGGGCTGGGCATGGCTTTTGACTGTTGCATATGGTGTTTTAGAGCACATATGTACCACTAGACACCCATCCAGAAGCTCACAAGGTCCAAAAGGTGAAGTTGGTTTCTGCGACCTCCAAGATTTGACTCTGTGACCGTGACAGTCACTGCTTAGTCACCCATTGATAGGCTGGCTACCAGACACGCTCTGCACCAGCTCTATAAGGGCATATTTTTGCGCTTTTACAGAGTTTACTCTCAAACCATTTGGTGTATTGTGTCGCGGTTGCCAGTGTTGTGCTCAGTAGGACTTGAGGGTCTACTGCCCAGTTGACAACTGTGGATAGTGTCAACAATAGCAAGGCAGTCAGACCACTACTGTGGAATTGGTCTTATAAGTCTACACCAGGCTCAGGGCTATTAGTGACGAACACTCAGACCGCAACAATTCCCCAAAAGGGATGCTTTGTTGCGGCAACTCCTTGAAAGGGTCATCCTCTGCAGATGGGAACTCGGGCTGGAGAGCTTAGCAATGCGCGACGTGCTCAACATAACAACTACTACTAGACAGGACTTGGCGTTACAAGATTGAACCAATCTTGTCGCGGCAACTCCTGGCTTTGGGTTGGACATTTCCTTAGATCATGCCACGGTGACAACTTGTCACATGTCATGTTCCACTCAATCACAGGATATTGTGGACGCATCATAGTGACACTTCAAAGTGTCATGGTGAGTCACGCCCATACCCAAACACACTAAAAGCAACACGGGCTAGATCCATGAACCAAACTATGCAAGGAACGTCTGGCGTGCCTAGGACCATACGGCTTCTTGGGGCACCCACATTGGACTCACTTGCCAAGATATACCAGTTGGCCAATCCAGCATGTCGTATTCCAAAAGTATAACACAGTGGGTTGACCTACATCAAAAGTACCATATAGACAATGGGGCGGGGTCCTGATCAGTCAGGACCTGTCCAATCGTTCAACTTTTTCATTACCATAAAAGGCAACCAATCTTAGATAGCATAGTGACTATGCAGTTGTACAGGTCTTTACTAAGCATTGTCGTAGACAGTATAAGTAGCATGTTGTTTCTTTGTATTGGGGAGCTTTACCCTGGACTGTGAATCATACCCATATCAGATTATTTTTGTACAATTTGCGTGTCGCATGATTCCGCCTTAAGAAGTTCTATTACCCCTGCCCAGTTGCAACAAGTTGCTCCCCAAGCGCTTGTAGCTACTGTGATTTGAGTCTTAGTTGAGATATCAGAAAGTCGGATTCACTGCTTCTGGTTTTGTCACGGCACTTAGTGTCGTTGCCTTTGGGCTTTGTTGAGATTGTTTCTACACCTCTAGTTTGGCAGTGTATCGACTAGTTGTGCTTGGGTTGTTTTGGTCAGTTGGCAGTGCGTTGACTTGAGAACTTTGGTTCCACACTTCTTGCTTGGCAGTGCGTCAACAAGTTGTGCTCGGGTTTTGGACATTGGATATTGGCTGTTAGTTGGCAGTGCATTGATGCGGCATTTTGGTTCTACTAGTTGGCAGTGCACTGACTCAGTGTTTTTGGTTGTGTCAGTTGGCAGTGCGTCAGCTTGACATTTTGGTTTTACTAGTTGGCAGTGCGTTGACTCAGTATTTTGGTTGTATTGGTTGGCAGTGCATTGACTTGATATTTTGGGCTTTGTGTCACCATCTGGATGCTGTTGCTACAAGGGATCTTAATACTTCGTATTAAGTTTTGACTTGTGATATTGTTGGTTGTGGTTGGATTAGTGTTGGTTTTGGCTGTATAGAAGATATTGGTTGAGACACCATTGTTTACTATATATAAATCCTTGTCATTGACTTTGTCTTCTGCGACTATTGGATCCCGCATCTATTGAGAGTTGTGATACTGGTGCTCTGTCCACCCCAAAGCCCTCGCATCTTTCACACACTGAGAAGCTGATTACAAGGAGTGTGAATGTGTTTATATTTGGGTTTACTTTCATAGCAGATTCACCTGTGAGCGTGCCCTCAGCATTTTATCTGGAGCCCACTGTGAGGGGCTTCTAAAGTTTCATAAACTTTAAAAATCAATAAACCGGATTCTTGACCGCGACATTGGATAGAGACCAAGGGTTTATCCCGCAAAGCAGTTTATTTTGATCCCAAGCTCCTGCGCAACCTCTAGAGGACCAAGCAGAGATTGAGACTGAAGGAGACGCTTCAACCTCAGGACCTTTCGAAAAACCACGAAGGTCTGCAAGACATAAAACACCTTTGTATCTACCACCCTTGCCTTCCAAGGCAAAAGGAAAACAAAGAGTGAATTTGACGTCGAAGCTTCCAGCTTTAGACGTGGCTACTTTGAGCTCAACGACAATCAGTCAATCTCAGACTAGCTCACAAACTCTCTCAGAATTGTCTAGTAGTGTCACCGCTACAAACGCAAATTCTAACAACATCCCTACTTTCCCTGTGACTTCAGTCACGACAACTATGGCTCCAAAGACTGGGTTCGAGATCCCTCAACCTTGGGACACAAGTAGACCTATACTTGATGAAAAGGATTCTTTGTCGATAGAGGTGTACTTGCATCACTGCGTGCAGATTGTAGAGGATGGTGGCCTTAGAAATGTCAAACAAGCAAAAAGCATGTACATTTGTTATTTGCCGTCGCGGCAAGTAATGGATGTATGGGAAGGTCTCAATACCTATTCCAACGACACGAAAACTGTTGCGAAGTTCGAGGCCAAAATCCTAAAAGGATACCCTGAGGTGTCCAAGCAAAAAACGGGGACCATGGCAGATCTAGACAGACTCTGTCGCAAGAACCGTGGAATCAAGATCATGGATGAGAGAGATTTGAAGTGCTTTGTCCTTCAGATGTATAGTCACTACAAGCGACTGTCAGTCTCTCCTGCCATTATCACCAACAAGGTTGCGTGTGAATACTACATGCGTACCTTGGACTCTGAGTTCAGTACCGTCTTGCATAATGCTTTGGCTACAAGTCAAGTATTCAACAAGCGCTACCAAACTCGCACCGGAATAGCAAATGCTAATGTCCCCACAACAGGAGTCAACTGGCAGAACAACCCCATCCAGTTGAAAGAATTAATGACGATGGCAGAAGAAATGGCATTGATGTTGAGCAACAAAGATGAAATTCCCATAATTGCATGACCCCCAAAGGTTTGCTTCAACTATGAGACTAGTCCGCCCAACCATGCTAAGGTTGAGGAGTTGGAAAGCTCGATTTCCAACTTGAAGAATTCATTTCTCCTACACCAAAAAGAGTTACAGACTCAGTTGCAGGAAGCGTTGAAGACATTCGTGCAGACTGCTTGCAAAGTGCCTATCCAGCGGTCGCAGCCAGTAGGTAACAACTCTTCTATGCCCCACTTTGAAAGTCGCGCACAAGGAGGAGCTGCCATGCGGAACAATGACCGTCACTACTGTAGACAGACTGGTCACTGGTTGAATGAGTGCCCCCTCAATGTTGATAAAATGGCTGAACCAGGAATTGAACCTGGGACCTCTGACTTGGATTGTCTAGTGCTCTAACCACTGAGCTATTCTGCCTTGGTGCTGGGATTCCCAACTCCAACACTCAAGAGGTCTCATATTGAGAAAAACCTTCTCAAAGTCGACACCAAAGGGATGTGGAGGCTCTTCAACAACAGTTTCCTACCAAATGGAGAAGGGACTCAGGGACAACAAGTAGAGGCTTATTGGAAGAAGAAGGGCAAGTCTGTCAACTTCCAAGATTCCTACTACTTGGATCAGTTTGATAGCCGTGACAATGATGATATGTTCGACTACCCTGAAGAAGTGGCAGATGAGATATGCTCCCTCTGTAGTCAACTCATCCAATATGAGAGGAAATTGTCACGACCAACCCCCAGATAGTTGCGCTGAGCCAAGGACTCAAAAACCTGCATCTGGTTTGACCAGTAATGCAATGGAAAGTGCTATAGGCCAGTTCATGCAGAAAGCCATGACCAACGCCATGGCCGGCTACTTCAACAACATGAACAGTGGTTAGTTATCCTCGGACTCAGGAGCAATTTATTCAAACCCGTTGGGGTGCGAATAGTCAACCTGAGCGCGACAATAACAATTCAGGTTTCTAAATGGTTCAAGGAAGGGGGCTAAGCCCACAAACTCAGCCAAGCCCTCTGAGGACCATGATAAACAAGCTGAGCAACAAGAGAAACCAAGAAAGCCTGTAATTATTAAGAAAGTTAGTGATAGCAACAATGATAAGGAATCAGTGCGCGACAACGCCAAAAAGAGAAAGGAACTACCGTTTGAGAAAGTTAAGCCCATTCTACAAGAACCAGTATATTCTGCAAAAGCACGTGTTCCAGATAAATACCAGTTGCGTGCACCAATTCAAAAAAAGGCTGTGGCAGAAGCAGTCTACAACAAAATAAAAAACATGTCAGTTGATATCACTGTGGGTGAACTCCTAGCAGTTTCAGGGACTGTCCGCGACTCCATTCTGAAGGACTCTTCCAAGAAATGTGTACCAGTTCAGACGTCTATGCTTCAAGAAACTGGTTGCGTCATTGAAGATGTTTGGGAGGGAGAACTGAGCTACAACCTAGTCAGTACTAAGGAATTGCCTGAGCCTGTGTTCTATCATAACACAGTCAAAGGAGAAATTCCCATTGACGCAGTTGTTGTGACGGACCCATATGAGATGTACTTGGAGTCAATACCCTCTAATGAGAACCCAAGGCATGTCTATGTTGGTAATTCATTGGCTGCTCCCAGAACAATAAACAGACAGATTAATGTACGTCTTGACATGGACTGCATCCTTGACAGTGGATCTCAGATTGTCTCAATGGCCTTCTCGGAAGCTGTCAACGCACAATTAAGCTGGGACCCAAAAGTTGTCATCTATATGGAAAGCACAAATGGATCTATCTCTAAGGCATTGGGATTAGCGAGAAATGTACCCTTCAGATTTGGGACCATTCTGGTCTACCTACTCGTGATTACGGAAAGTGATGGTCAATCATGATGTGATCCAGCTGCCCGAAGAAAAAATTTCTTCTCTGTACAATGATACGATACATCTATTGCCTTAATACTTGGTGTGCTCACCCTGTGCCTTCAAGACAGCTTCTACCTGGTCTGGCATTGAGCAAGTATGCTTGGTTATGTCCTCAAAGGACAGCTTTTCCCATTCCTCCATGATCACCTCTTGGAGTGTTTTCACTGTTGTAGGTGTTGGAGTTGGGAATCCCAACACCAAGGCAGAATAGCTCAGTGGTTAGAGCACTGGATGATCCAAGTCAGAGGTCCCAGGTTCAATTCCTGGTTCAGCCATTTTATCAACAGTAGGGTAGGGCTAGTGCCTCCGAATCCGGATCTTGAGCTCCTTCCAGACAGCCTCAATAGGGCTGATGTTGAGAGAGTTGGCAGGATGTAGAAAGAGGGGGATTTTGTGGGAGAAAAACCACTAGTGTGTTACCCTGGCTTTGTGTGTGGCTGCACCATCTTGCTGAAAGCAAATTTCTCCCCGTTTCTCTCTCAAATCCTTGACGGCATCGACCAACACACCATCCAGAACCTGCTCTCTGTACCTGGTTGTGTTGGTAAAATGGCTGAACCAGGAATTGAACCTGGGACCTCTGATAAGTGCAACCAGTGCTCTAACCAACTGAGCTATTCTGCTGATAGTGCTTGGGGCCCATACTCCAACAGGTTGCCGTCATTCCACCGCCCTTGCCACCAGGGTACTCCAAAACTACCAATGGCCCTTTCCAGCCATGTGCAATGCACCCCCAGACCATCACTCACACAGAAGACTGTTTGAATGTTAGCAGAAGACATTCATCAAGGTATTCTTTGTCTGCTGTTTGTGTGACATAGACCCGGCTGGCTCTGTCACCCAATTGGATGTAGCATTTGTTGGACCAGATCACAGTCTCCCAGTCTTCCTCCTTGTGTTTGTGCCCCCATGCAACCCGTGCCTTCTTCTGACCCTTTGTTAGGAATGGGACCTTCTGAGCAACACATCGATGCATCCCATAACCATCCAGCACCTTCGCAACTGAGGTAGCACCAATACAAGGCTCCACCTCAATGCCAATTTCCACAAAGGGTTTACAGCAACTCTCCTGTGCTTTTCGATAGACTTGCTGTTCCATGCGGGGAGTTATCTTTGGGGGCTGGCCACTGCGGGAACAATTTTCAACAGAGCCTGTATCTTTATATTTTTTCCAGAGCTTTTGTGCAGTGTTATATGGAATGCCAACAAGTTTAGCACTTGTTCGCAGATTGTTACTGGCCAGCATTGCACCAATAAATTGATTTTTCTTCTCGAAGTGTTCGAGGACCTAAGAAAACTGTGTTCTAGTGATCAGTTTACCCAAACTGAGCTGGTAGAAGTGTATATCTTGTTGTCAAAAGAAAACGAGGAAATGGAAAAAGATGTTGCTGCGTTGACTTTGTTTCATTCATATATGAATAAAAGACTTTCCGACATGGCCACAGAAAAATTCACTGTTGGTACTTGGAGTGTGCTAGAAGACGACTCTTCTAGTCACAACAAATACTCTGTGTTCGCAGGAAAGAAATACAAACCTGTGGACCAGAAAGTCAGACGAGTGTACACTATGGGCTCTGAGGACGATTGTGACAATCAACCCAAAAACAAAGTCGAAAAGAGAAGTGAATTTGAAGACTGGAGAATACAACCAAGTAGCTACAGTATTTATACCCAAATCCAGTCTGAGTCATATCTACAACTAATGAGTCATAGGGCTATGTACCGCATGGAGCACTGATCATGGGTTGTAGTAGAACCTTCCGGAGCATATGTTGCGCAGCTTTGAATCAAGAAAGATAATCCCTAGAACCCCTAGCCCAGCCTGTCTAATGCTGTGATCCATGATAAGATAAGCCGTGCCGAGATAAGATAAGGCTGTCGAAGATAAGGTGAAAAAGTGGTCGAACTATGACAACAATCAAATAATGCGAGAAATGGTGGGAGATCCTTTGGATATGCTACCTACTCTAGACCCGTGACCACCTAATTTTACCCCAACTGGTAGATTTGTGTTGGTGATGGGTTTTGGACTTGATCACTCTCTGGTGATTGGGTCACATGATCACCTGATTCCATCTGATCCTATCACTGATCACATCACTGATGATATCTGATTCCATCACTGTTCTCATCATTCCATCATTCTGGTTACATGACTCCAAGTCACATGATTCCTATACAGTCACATGCTCCATCCACATAGATAGTTCCTCCCTCCCTAGAGTTCTTCAGCTTCTTACTGTTGACTCCAGGTCTGTAGATTCTTTTCTTGTCTTGTCTTGCAATGCACAGCTTCTTACTGTTGACTCCAGTCCTCTCTGCATTTTCTGCTTCAACAGCAGACACCGCCAGTGCCCTGAATGCAGGGGGCAGGTTGGCTTCGTGTAACATGGCAGTGGAGTGCTCATCAACGGTGCGGTTAGACCGCTCTGCTGTCCCATTCTGCTGAGGCCGCGCCCTGACTGAATGGCGGTGCACAATGCCACACTTGTCCAGATGTGATCTGAACTCATTAGACATGTACTCTCCCCCTTTATCGTCCTGGAATGCCTTGATCTTCAGCCCCCAGTGAGTCTCAGCATACGCTTGAAACATCTTAAGGGCTGCAAATGTCTCACTCTTGTTCTTCATGTGGTATGCTACCTTGAAGCCAGTGTGATCATCAACAAAAGTCACCCTGTGTTTCCAGCCCTCTCGAGTAGGCACAGAGTCGCTCTTTAGATTAGAGTGAATGAGATCAAGAGGCGCTCCAGAACGATGACCAGTTGAGGGAAACAGGCCAGCATTCAGCTTGCCAAATAGGCATGGCTCACAGATGGGGTCTGGCTTCCTAGCAGAGGCAAGCCTCACACCAGTAACTAGCTCTTTATCCATGACTAGCTTGGTATCACTGTGGTGTCCAAGCCGCCTGTGCATCAGGCTGAGGTCAATAGGAAGAGTCCCAGCTGTAGAGACCAGTGCTGAACCAGCAGAAGGGAAACCAGTCTCTCTCACAAATGCCTGACCCTGCTCTGAGATATCTGCCACAAAGTACACTTCACCATTGCGCTTGAACAGGATGTAGTTCTCCTTCATGAGCACAGTGTAGTCATGGTGAACTGACAGGTATGTAGTGGAGATCAGATTGTGTGACAGAGCAGGGACATAGAGCACATTGGAGAGGATCACAGACCGGCTCCTGGCATGTCCATGGATCAGTGGCCTAAGCACTATCTCCCCCACAAGCTCTGAATAGACCACAAGTCCATTAGCCACTCTGATGGGTGCCCTGTGAGGACGAGTGTTCTGCAGCAGGTGCACACAATGGGTCATGTGTGATGTAGCACCAGAGTCTGCAATCCATCTCAGCTCAGGGTCTGCAGTGGAGTGGGAGAGAAGGCTTGTATGAGTGGCCACTTCAGACTTGACTGCACTCTTTCTAGGCCTAGGCCTAGGCTCAGGCTCAGGCTCTGGCTCAGGCTCAGAAGCATTGTCCTCTAGGAGAGACAGAAACTCTGGGCATTTTAGAAGTGTGTGTTGAAGCAGGAAATGCAGAGAGGACCGGAGTCAACAGTAAGAAGCTCTGCATTGCAAGACAAGACAAGAAAAGAATCTACAGACCTGGAGTCAACAGTAAGAAGCTGAAGAACTCCAGGGAGGGAGGAACTATTTATGTGGATGGAGCATGTGACTATACAGGAATCATGTAATCAGAGATCATGTGACCAGAATGATGGAATGATGGGAACAGTGATGGAATCAGATATCATCAGTGATGTGATCAGATGGAATCAGATGGAATCAGATGATCATGTGACCCAATCACCAGAGAGTGATCAAGTCCAAAACCCATCCTCAACAGTGTGTGGCCATGTTGATAACAGGCATAACACAATGGCTGAGCAGAAGCAGGTACAGCTGCCAGGTGTTGATAAAATGGCTGAACCAGGAATTGAACCTGGGACCTCTGACTTGGATCGTCCAGTGCTCTAACCACTGAGCTATTCTACCTTGGTGCTGGGATTCCCAACTCCAACACCAGATGCTGTTCAGAGGAGATCAGCAGCCGAGAAACAGAAGGGCCCTCAACCCAGTGTTGAAGCAGGAAATGCAGAGAGGACTGGAGTCAACAGTAAGAAGCTCTGCATTGCAAGAGAAAACAAGAAAAGATCTACAGACCTGGAGTCAACAGTAAGAAGCTGAAGAACTCCAGGGAGGGAGGAACTATCTATGTGGATGGAGCATGTGACTATACAGGAATCATGTAATCAGAGATCATGTGACCAGAATGATGGAATCAGATACCATCAGTGATGTGATCAGATGGAATCAGATGATCATGTAACCCAATCACTAGAGAGTGATCATGTCCAAAACCCATTCTCAACACCTGCTTCAACAGGCCCACCCTACCATCCCTCTGGATATAGTCAAAGTTACGTGGCTAGTCAAATATCCTGACCAGATTGTTGACTCTGCGGATCTCATTGGTCTCAGGGCATGCGCTCTAGCTAAGCATGCAGACCATATAGAGGACATGTGCAGCTGCGTCAGCAACGCCAAGCTAAAGATGGTCCAATGCTACAAACTCAAGTACAAGTATGTGATCAAAGATTACAAGTTTGTACCAGGGGACTTGGTATTGGTCAGGAACATAGCTATTAAAAAATCATTGGATAACAAGATGAAAGCTAGATATCTTGGACCCATGGTTGTGGTGAGAAAGACCAAAGGGGGTTCTTACCTAGTCTGTGAAATGAACGGTGCAATGTTCTATGCAAAAGTTGTAGTGTTCAGGGTAATACCCTATTTGGCAAGACAGAAGGTGATGCTCTCTGAAAATATAAAGAACCTGATAGATATTTTGCCTGCTAAATTTGATGAGTTGGTAGAGGAAGTATCTGATGTCCACAACTATCAGTTCAAGGGCGTGAGGCTCAAGAACTCTGGTAGTGAAAACAGCAACAATCCTGTAGAGGATCCAGCTTCAGTTGAGTGAAAGTCTGGCACGCAATGTTGAACACAGAAAACACAGATGGGAGCCGCAGGAGGCTAGGGGCACAGATGGCAGGCAAAAAGCCCAGTAGGTGTTAGGAGAGACGTGTCAGCATGATGAGGTTATTGGTATTGATCTGTTGGAGTTGGGAATCCCAGCACCAAGGCAGAATAGCTTAGTGGTTAGAGCACTGGACGATCTAAGTCAGAGGTCCCAGGTTCAATTCCTGGTTCAGCCATTTTATCAACATGATCTGGTGGTGTTCCAGCAGTGTTCTAAGGATTATCAGTCAGCGGTGTCGTGCTTCTTACATTATCTACTTGTATATAGATAGTTACTGGGAATCTCTGATCCCCAGTCTTGTTATTGACTTGGCCCCTAGGCTCCACTTTCCTTACAGCATTACAAGACTGTTCTTTGACTCTGGCACTCTCTCTAGCCCCAGTTGACCACCCTATCTCCTACTCTGCCCTTACCCTACCCTTGACCCTACACCTCCCACACCATGGCTACACCTGCGGGCCACCTGGATATCTATTCCTACTGCAAACTCCTGCGACATGAGGTTCAGCGTCTCCATGACCGCCTGGACCGTATGGAGCATAGGAACACCACAGCCTCTACCCCCCGCGGTCACGCCTGGTGCCTGTTGAGGATGGGTTTTGGACATGATCACTCTCTAGTGATTAGGTCACATGATCATCTGATTCCATCTGATCTTATCACTGTTCACATTACTGATGATATCTGATTCCATCACTGTTCCCATCATTCCATCATTCTGGTCACATGATCTCTGATTACATGATTCCTGTATAGTCACATGCTCTATCCACATAGATAGTTCCTCCCTCCCTGGAGTTCTTCAGCTTCTTACTGTTGACTCCAGGTCTGTAGATCTTTTCTTGTTTTCTCTTGCAATGCAGAGCTTCTTACTGTTGACTCCAGTCCTCTCTGCATTTCCTGCTTCAACACTGGGTTGAGGGCCCTTCTGTTTCTCGGCTGCTGATCTCCTCTGAACAGCATCTGGTGTTGGAGTTGGGAATCCCAGCACCAAGGTAGAATAGCTCAGTGGTTAGAGCACTGGACGATCCAAGTCAGAGGTCCCAGGTTCAATTCCTGGTTCAGCCATTTTATCAACATCTGGCACCCTTGTGCGCCTGGGTGCTTCTGGAACCATGATTTCCGTCGATTCCTTAGGCGCTTCCTCCTTTTCCAAGGATTGAGCCTTCGGAGCAGTGCTCTCCTTTTTGGTGTTTGTTGACATAGTTCCTTCTCTACAAGCCATAAATACGTAAGAGTCCAATAATTTGTCTGCAGTCTTCTGATCCTTTTTGTTTTGTATATACTTTTTATTTAAAGCTATTTTTATTTGTATTTTTTTTCCAGATCAGCAATCAGAAAATCATGAATATTTGTATGTAGTGAGTTGGAGATCGTGTACGTAGGTGAAATATTGTCTGTATCTTTAATAGAAATGAGTATAGAAAAATGTCCATAGTCCAGACGCTCCACCTCCTTGGCTAGAGGAGTGGAGCGCTTTCAAAACCCTTCTTGTGCAGCTTCTCGGCGATCTCATTGAGGAACTCGTTGTCCTTGTCCCCGTTCTTGATCTCTTCTAGCATTGTGGCCTGATTGAAGAACGCGCGCTTCTTCTTGGGCTCCGGACAGTTCCGCGCAATGTGCCTGGGCTGCTGACAATTGTAGCAGATGATATTGCCTCCGCGGGCGTGGGTGCAATCAATCTCCATCGAAACCGGTTCATTGGCCGCTGGTCAGGCCAGAGCAGGTGTAGGTGCCGCTGACGCAGCCTGAGGGCGGAATTAGGGGGGAGGCCGCGGAGTCAAGTGCGCATAGGATGCCTTACGCAGCTGATCGCGCAAGGCATTGGCCTCGATGTTGACACACCAGTTCTTGAAGGTGCTGTATGCCTTGGGCAGGGAAACACCGGTGTTGTAGAGGTGGCTTGCAATTTCGCTGCTGAGCCCGCGCTCAAGAAACTTGATGAGGATATTGTCTTGATCCCCCTTCTTGTATTTGCCCTTGCTGTCGGTGGTGGTGACCACATCGTACCCTGCGTCTGCAGCCAGCATCTCGAAGTCAGAGATATAATCCGCAAAGGACCGTCTGCCCTGGCAAAGGGCCATGAGTTGGGTTGTTCGGAGGGTAACTTGTCGAGGTCCAGGATCTTGTCTTCAGGCGGTAGGAGGGCGAGGTAGGGATTAGAGGTCCTGGGTTGGTTTTGGTGCGCCAGATCGTGTTGAAGCAGGAAATGCAGAGAGGACTGGAGTCAACAGTAAGAAGCTCTGCATTGCAAGGGAAAACAAGAAAAGAATCTACAGACCTGGAGTCAACAGTAAGAAGCTGAAGAACTCCAGGGAGGCAAGAACTATCTATGTGGATGGAACATGTGACTGTATAGGAATCATGTGACTTGGAGTCATGTGACCAGAATGATGGAATGATGGGAACAGTGATGGAATCAGATATCATCAGTGATGTAATCAGTGATAGGATCAGATGGAATCAGGTGATCATGTGACCCAATCACCAGAGAGTGATCAAGTCCAAAACCCATCACCAACACTCCCCCGGGATGAGATCAGTCTCTCAGCCTCTCCCCCGCAATCTCATCAGTGTGCGCAACCTTGCCACCTGAGGCCGAGGCAGTGCCTTGGTCATAATATCAGCCAGCTGATCCTGTGTTGGCACATACTTGACATCAATAAACCCTCTGGCCACTTCATCTCTAAGCCAGTAGTGCGCAAGGTCCAGATGTTTCATACGCCCATGGTGTTCAGGATTCTTGGACACAGATATGGCAGACTGGTTGTCCATCATCAAGGGAGAAGCCCCAGACACACCATGCTCTAGCTCGTGCAGCAGATTCCGCATCCACTTGATCTCCTTCCCAGCATCCACACCAGCCACATACTCTGCCTCAGTGGTGGACAGAGAGATGGTAGACTGCAGCTTGCTCCTCCAGCTCACTGGTCCACCAGCCATCATAATGACATACCCCCCAGTGCTTTTCATGGAGTCCTTGTCTCCAGCATGATCAGCATCAGTGAAGGTGGTGAAGAGGTCGTCAGGATGGATATGGGTGGCTGGGTCATAGAGGGTGGGGGAAGATTTGGAGTAGGTGATGCGGAAGTCAAGGGTGCCCTGGATGTATCGAAGCAGGTGTTTGACAGCCTTCCAGTGCTCTTCACCAGGATTGCTATTGAAGCGCGCTAGCACCCCCACAGCATAGGAGATGTCAGGACGAGTCTGACAGGCCAGATACATCAGAGAGCCAACAGCAGACAGATAGTTGCCCTTGAACTGCTTGGACTCC